TGCCTGCTGAAGAAGAGGGGTGAGTGAGGCAGGGAGCTGTTACTTTGGTATTTTCCATCTCTACCCCCTGGCATATCCTAATGAAAACAAACAGGCTGACTGTTCTGTAGCTTTTCTTCCCACATGCCTGTATTGTCATTAACAGCATCCCTGTGGCCAACTGCTAGGGATATTTCCTAATGGGATATTTGTTCTCATTATATGGAGTGCCAGCACAAAGATGTTTCTCACTGACGTTGATTGGTACTGCATGGTTTGAGGTGTCACTAGGTATGAAATCTGTTTTGTTGCTGTGGCCACCAAACAGGAGTCTTATACATTGAAAGTTGCATGAAGAGCAAGGCAATGAGCACAGGGGTTGGGTACTCAGGGCAGAGGCCAGGCCCAGCAAGTGCATCTTTGGAAGCTGCTGGAAGATTTGGTGAGCCCAAAGGCAGCAGTCCCAGCTGGTGTCCAGGTGTGCTGGCACTCCTGAAGCAGTGGGTTATGGAACTGGTACCAGTGAGTTTCTGTGCTATAACCATCCTTTAAACCAATTTTGTATCAGTTCACTGGTGCTTTTGTGCCTTGCAGTTGCGAGATGCAGCTGTTTAATTATTTTGTCTGTAAGATCACCTTGAATCATTTTCCCCCATGTGCTCAACTTGCATGTGCCTTCAAAAGGCAATTTACTGGTTTGTTCATTAATCTAGTTTCTGTCTGCTGTGCAAAATTGATAGCTTTCATGTACAACTTCTACCTTAGGCAGAGAAAAATTCTTTAAAGCCAGAATGCATTCTCTCCTACTCATACATCATTAGGAAAGGAAATGTCAAGAGTATGTGTGGTCTTTGGTGCTTGGATGGTGTAAAAACAGAGAACATTTTTCTTTCAGTGGGACATTGATTGGTTCGAATTGCAGGAAGAAAGGTGGGATCATGGCAAGGTTGGGTTCAGCATCTCTGCTGAAGTCTTTTTCTCAGCTTCCTCTACAAGGGTGGGAGCCTTAGCAGGACTGTAGGGTGGGCTGGTGGGACTGCTCTGCTTCATCTAAACTGCTTATGGAGCTGTAGTGTTGCTTGCTGGCCTTCGCATATTTTAATTTATGACAAATGCCAAGCAATGGACCTGTCCTCCCCACAGCATCGCAGCATTGAAGTGGAGCAAAGCAAGGTGCTCACTTCCTCTTGCCTCACACTTCCACCTGGCTGCTGTCCCAGTGGGGCGAGAAGCTGCCAGCAGCCAAGGAGCTGTGCTCTGCTCTGAGCTGTGCTGCTTGCTGTAAGAGTGGGGTTGTGATAGACGCAGCAGTAGCAGCGGCTTCAGCGGCCACTGTTGAAACCACTTTGGGCAGAAAATTTGGGCAAGTTGACTGTGGCCAGAGCTTGTACCAAGGCTTTGGGACAGACAGAGCGCAGGCTGCTGCAGGGGGCCTGGCTGAATCTTGATCTGCTTAACGAAGGTGTGCAATAAATAATTAATTTCCAGGCTATGGTGTTATCATCTGCAGGGCTGGATCGGAGCAGTGGTACAGTACAGCCATGGAGTAGTAAAATTCACGTTAAAAATCCTTGGTCATAAGGACAGTGCTCCTTTTCTATCAGGGAGTGGTCATTAATGTTATTAGCTCAAGAAATAGATTTTTTTTCCCTCTCCTGCTTTCTCTTATTTTTTTTTTCTTTCCCTTGCTATGTGCAGCTCTCATGAACTTGGAGCTGAGCTGGAATTGCTTTCATTGTCACATGTCTTATTTAATTGTGCAAATTGCTTTCTATTCCAAGGACAAGTTAATGCAGAAATGGAAAGGATTAGAACTGCTGATTGCTGTTTCTTTTAATTTTTGGTTTTAGCATAACAATAGCTACTATTTCAAAAGCAGTCTCTGGCTCTGCCTTGTCACCCTTCCATGCAGGGAAAGTACTGGGGTAGGGCCTGATTCTCCCCTGCCCTCTCCCTCAGAATGGATCCAGTAACCATTACTCAGTGGGGATCATCTGTAAATCAACTCCATGAACTCTGGGCTGAGGCTTCTTGAGCAATCCAGCATGAATAGCATGGGTTGGAAGATGCCATCAGGAAGGGACATCTGTGTTCACAGTGAATGTCACAGGATTGGACGTATTTTTTAAGTTTCACATAATAAAAGAAAGAAACCAAGCTAAAAAAAAAAGAAGAAAAAAAAATAGATGCTTTCAGGTTTGTCTAAAGACAGTGCAACTACTGAGTGTTGCCTTAGAAAAGCAAGCATTAAAATGGACAGTTTTTAACCACTTTGGAAATTAGCATTAGCTGTTGAATCAGCGCACAGGCTAGCTTTGTACTTGAATTATTGGTCTGTAGCTTGCGTGGTTTTGAAGTGTTTGTCTGCTCATTAGGGTTTTGTTTCTTCAGCAAATTAAAGAAAATGTTTGGATACTTAAACCCACTCAATCACTGCCATGTGTAGGTAGATGTTTTTCAGGTCATCTGCCAAGACTGAGAGCTTGCCAAGCAAACAGTTTTGCTTCCTGATTTCTGTTAATATATTAAAGGCAAAACCAGGTGGGAAAGTATCACGCCCTGTTCTGATGTTGTGCGTTGCGGTGGGAAGCTGGCGTCATAAAATCATAGTTTTCTTGTGTGGCGTGGGAGTTTTTCACTCATGCTTAATTAAACTGCAGCAGGCTGCACCATTCAGGAAAAGCATTTCTGTTGTGTTGTGGCCGTCGTAACAGCGTGAGAGATCAGCAGCATCAGGCACATGAGGTGCTGGCCGTCCCGTGTGCAGCTCCCAGCAAGGCTGGTGGGAGTTTTCACGCATGGGTTGAGAGCAGTACACTGCCATTAGGGTTTAATCTTTTACAGGTGAATGTGCACCAGCCCTGAGTGCAGTTATACGCAAGATGGGTGATGATAACGCTCACTACTACCAAAGTCCAGGAGGGGCTTTACGTGCAGGGTATCCCCAATCAATTACACTTGGTTTTACAGTAACTAGTCTGGCAAACGTGCTATACATGACTGGTATCCAGATATCGCGCTCTAAGTGCTGGAGCAGCTTCATACATGGAAAAAATACGTTCACTTTTGAAGGGTTGAGTTGTGTGTTGGACCGAGGGAGCACACTGATATTGTACCAGCACTGTGCAAGACCTCTGTAACTAGAAAAAAGGTGGTTTTCCTCTGTGCTGGGCAGTGCGAGTCTGGTGAGAATGAATTAATTCCTTTGAATATCTCCGGTGTAACAGGTGCATCCACAATGAGTCCTTGACATTTCCCTCTTCTTCTGCATTCCTCCACACTGAGGGCTGAGCATCTTGCAGTCCCTCATGCGTTCTTTCCTCGAGTACCTGACCCCTTTGGAAGTTAGTTGTTTACAAGGGAAATCAAAGTGACTGGCCAAGGGTGCTGAGGGGAGGCACACGGCGTGCAGGGGACTGGGCGAAGAGCTGAGGTTAGCACTTTCTCCACCATCTGGTCTTCCTCTCACCTATAAGTTATTTGTATGCAGAGTTGGCTTCCCGCACTGATTGGCACTGCAGAAGTCAGGATAATGTCACGGTTGCCCACGAAGCCGTGCCAGCATGAGAGCAAACCTTGCCAGCACAACGGCATTGATTAGTGCAGAGGAACTAGGGCAATCCAATTATAACCACAAATGCCATTGGCTTTCTCAAATTCTTACTCGAATAACTGTGGACTTTCTGCTGTGTTAAGGTGGTCTGGACTGTATGAAGAAAAAGGGAGTTCACAAGGCTTAGCTAGTGCAGAGTAAATGGAATTTAATTCTTAAATACTCCATTGTCTATTTACATGTGGGGAAAAATAACCTTTTTTTTTGGATGAGTAGATGTTAGCCAACCCCTTTGCCTGCCGTGATATTACAGTTTGTAATTCATAGTTCTTTTTTTGGAAATCGTTACCAAATATCCTAGAAGGAAGCTACACATCAAAAATAGCTAAGAAGTTTCTTATCACTTAAATCTTGTTTGAACATTGAATATTCCTTTGTTCCCTAATATTATGCTTCCTCTAACCTACTCAGCAGGTCAGATAAGGAAATGGGATATTTTTCACCAGCATGACTAAATTAAACTAAAGCTACAAAGACCGTGAGGGCTGTAGCCTGGAGTCTTAGATGAGTCGTTCAGATCTGGCTTTATATTAAATGCAGAAGCGAACAGACTCTCGTGGATGAATCACATTCAATTAGCAACTTCCTATGATGAAATGATTAAAAATTAAGTGGCATCAAATAAGACTGATTTTGCTCTTACATTTAAATAATGCTATAATTACACACTAATCAGATGGTAAATCTTAATTGTACATGTTCCATATGTTTTATTTGCCTGTTCTCCCTCTTTACTCTGTCGTCTTTGTGTCAGCATGGAATATATTTTCAGGCTGCTTTTATGTTTGGCCTAATTGAATATCAAAAGCAGTATATGTGAAACTTCCTGAATTCTATTCTTTAGCCAGTGGCAGCTGTGCTATTAGATGACCTTTACCATTCCTGTAGCACAGAATAATAAAGGAAGGGGGGGAATTGAAGCCCAGCCATGTTATTGTTAGAGACAGAAATAAATCATATATAATTGCTTCACTATGAAGGCCAAATCCTGCCGTCCTTCATGCCTGAGCTAGAAATACAGGATTTGAACCTTTGTTTCCTGTGGTTTCCTGGCCACCTTGGACGTGCCCAGAATCCTCACACCGTAGTGGCTAATTACCATCATTGGACTTGGGGCAAACGAGTCCAACCACATCCTGGGTCCTTCGGTGCCCCACTGCCTGAAAACCATAGCTTGCAGTGTCATTGGCTTCAGTGAGGTTACCTAAGCCTTTAAAAGTTAAGAAAAGCCTTAGATGTCAGACAGCCTGGTGGGCTTCCACATAGGGCTTCTGCTATGGTTAGCTGTTTAGAACGTATTTGTTTAATGGTTGATTGAAGTAAGTAGGTATTGTGACATAAAATGCATGGATTATCATCTGTATTCTCTCCAGAATGTACTTCATGTTTGTCTGCTTTTTAATCATAGATCACGAACACAGTCATAAAAAGAACAAGCGGAAACACTGGAGAAAACAATGGGTAGAAAGCAGCTTATTATCTGACACGGAAATGTTGAAACACAGCCTGGAAGTGAATCCGTTTTCTGCAGATAGCAATGAGACAGGGAATGTCAGTGAGAAGAAGAGCCACAGAAGAACAAAGCGGTTCCTCTCCTACCCTCGATTTGTGGAAGTGATGGTGGTGGCTGACAGCAGGATGGTTGCCTACCACGGGGCTAATCTGCAGCACTACGTCCTAACGTTAATGTCAATAGTAAGTACTCATCTGGGCAGAGAGATTCGCCCTCTGTGGCCAAAGATCTTACTTTGGGCTGAGTTTTTGTGTGATACCACCAGTTTGCCTCAGCTAGGTATGGAGGTAATGCCAAGATGAGAGTTAAGCTTGGCTGGGAAACACTATTTGGAGTTATCTACCTTCTCAAACCCATTCCATCCCATTTCCTTCCTGCTTTCTGAACCTTGGGCAGCACAAGATGTACCACTGGCCCTATGATCCATAGATTGAACCTTTCTGTTTATTTAGGCCTATGAGAGATAGCAGCTGAATTAAAAATGTGCTTTGGGGACCATGCCTTCCCAGGGATGGATGCTAGTGTGTTACGTGCTTGCCTCAATTCTCTTGCTGTTTAAAAGAGAAAGAACCTGTGAACACCTTGGTCTTTGCTGCGTTTCTAGGGTTGGCTTTCCAGGCTGTAGGCAAGCATTTTTGTAGCTAATGGCAGTAGGATGCTGTTCTTAGATAGGCAGCTCTACAGACGCGTAGTTACTGGAGGTGAGTATCCAACCTAGTCATGTCACTGCAGGGATTTTCATCCTATTCAATGCACCTGAGAAAATAAGTCACTTGTGATAGTCTTGATCAATGGACAGAGGAGCAGCTCAGGAGAAAAATGGCTGCACAGTAGAAAGCATGCATGCATTGTCTTACTTGCTTCTTGAATAACATTGAATACTTCTTCTTAAAACAGGTGGCTTCCATCTACAAAGACCCAAGCATTGGAAATTTAATTAATATTGTTATTGTGAAGTTGGTTGTGATACATAATGAGCAGGTAATGGAAGTGGTTTTCTTTTCCTTGTGTTTGACAATGGCATTTGTAGTGGGCCTTGTGCTGAATGACTGAATACCTGCTTTATGTGTATCGCTTACTAGGATGGTCCTGCAATATCTTACAATGCCCAGACAACTTTAAAAAACTTTTGCCAGTGGCAGCAATCTCAGAACCACCCCGAAGGAAGTCATCTGCAGCACGATACAGCTGTGCTTGTCACCAGGTATGGTGAATAGTCTCACGAAGACCATAGCCAGCCACATGTCAGGCTGTCAGTATGTCATAGCTGTAGCTATGAGAAACATTTAGTTTTCAATGTGAGTGTAATAACATGCAGTTGTGAAAGCATTGTAATCATGAGCATAATTGGGATAACATATCCACCGTAGTGGTGGATGACAAGGTCAGGACTGCCCAGGGACTGACCAAGTTTCAACGTGTGGTGAAACCCTCTGGCTGGGAAGGAGCTGGTTCTGATTTCTGCTGAATGATATGACACAACAGCATGAGGAGGTTTGGTGGACGACCAAGAAGTGCTTATGAATGTTTTTATTATTGTCTTTGTACTTTAACTCACTGCTTCATTGAAAATTAATATGTCAGGTCTGTTCTGCTTTCAGACAGGATATATGCAGAGCGCATGACAAGTGTGATACTCTGGGTAAGGAAAACCTTTTCTTTGTAATTTAAAAACAGTGTTAGTTGCCTGTGCTGAAGTGGGGACAATGCTGCTTTTCCTATTGTAAATTTCTGTGTTCTCTTCTAGGTCTGGCAGAGCTGGGCACTGTCTGTGACCCCTACAGGAGCTGTTCAATTAGCGAAGATAACGGGCTGAGCACTGCTTTCACAATAGCACATGAACTTGGCCATGTGTATGTTTTATGTAAATACATTTACATTTAAATAGCTTGAGATTTATGTTAGCTGAGGCTTGCCGGCCGGGCTAGGACTTGGTACCCACTGAGCCTAATTATTTGAGAGGAGATAAATGTACTTGGGTAGAAGGTGTACTGCCTAGGAAGATTAAGCTGTGATGTGACTTGGAGGCAGTGGAGTGCTACAAAGTTTACCTGAGAGCTGCAAAGCCAACAGATCCATGTTTTGGGAAGGAGGATTTGACAGTATCACACAGAACTCCTAAGCAGGGGAGGAGAGCTAACAAAACATCTTGTTGTGTTGTAATATCTTGTAATATGTTGTTTCTACATGCAAATGTCAGTAGGAACTTCTGCAGCCATGGTATCTCAGCCATGAGGACAAGCTGGCTTTTCGGCTAAGATTGGGAGGTGCTGAGCACCTTTGGGAGGACTCATGCAAGGGATGCAAGCATAGCAGTTATGCAAAAGGGGGGATTTAGCCAGGACATCTGGCAGCTGGTAGGGATGTATAAATGAGCCTGACCCACCTGCTGAGCCATTTCACTAAGGAAAATCTCATGCTAGTGGGTATGCCCAGCAGAGGTGCTGTCATTCAAGATTCACCTCCTCCAGTGGAAATTCTCTTGACTTTGAGAGTGAGTAATGAGACAATCATTTTAGCTCACATAGTCTTTTACCCCTGGATAGGGCCCTGTTGTGAAGCTGGTTCAATCCAAAGCCACCTCACGCCTGGTTTGCAGCGGAAGCCTGTAGTGTGGGATGGATGAGTACTCAGGAACAGATCTCTCATTGTTTTACACTCCCCTTTTCTGTATGGAGGTCTGGTTCAGGTGTTCTATTTTTAACATCAGTAGTATTTGTTTAAATGAAATTTCCTGACAAAGTTCCCCAAGGTTTTGCTTTCCTCACACCTCAGCTGTGGCTAATTCCCTCACTAACATTGCCTCAGTGCTGCGAGGGGTTAGCAGTGCTCCCAAGCAGGAAATGCCTCTTTGCTCTTTTGCAGGGAGCAGAGGCAAGGTGGTTCACTGGAGGTAATCTTAATGGGATATAAACTCCCCAGCCTTCATGCACAGGATCACACTGGGTCATTTCCCCTTTTCTACTTCAAACAGCAAAGCAGTTTAAGCCGTTCTGTCTCCGTCGCATAGTTGCCACATTCTTCAAAACATCATGTGCTGCAAACTTCATGTGGGTTCGTGCTGATATTCGATGGCATTTTGTAAACCTGCCACATAAAGTGTAGGAGCCAAGTCTGTCCCTATTGCAGCCCGTTTTACAGCCTGCATAGGGTGCAGCCCACGTATGTGAGGGACTTTGGGCTCTGGTTGCCAGTAGGCTCGAGTCATCCCTCTCTTTTGGGGACTTACACTTGGCTTTTTGGCTCAATTCCAGAGAACTTGCCATTTTTGTGAAGGTGGAGGCAGGATCTGGACCATCAGCTGGAAAGAAAACCACAGCTGCAGTTGTGTTACTCTGAGCTCCCAGAGGACTTGTTTGGCTGAACATGGGCAATGGAGAGCTTAGCAGGGTGCTGCAGGCCAGTGCTAGGAATGCAAATGTTCTGAAAGCATTTCGGTTGTGCTTGTTGATGCTTATGAATATGTGAATGTTAATACTTTTATTCTGTAGTGCCTATTTGCAGGGAATCTATGCAAATCTATTGGGTTTACTTTTACTTAGTTCACACTATTGCTCTTTCTATGCTGGATACTTGCTCTTCATCATTTCTTCAATTGAAATTGTCACTATTGTGTATCTCTTAGATTTAATATGCCACATGATGACAATCATAAGTGCAAAGAAGATGGAGGTAAAAATCAACAGCACGTCATGGCACCAACACTGAACTTCTACACCAATCCCTGGATGTGGTCAAAATGCAGTAGGAAATACATCACTGAGTTTCTGGAGTAAGGCTTTCCCTATGTGTTTTTTGGGCTGTTTTGTGTGTGTCTGTATCCCATGGGGTTCTTCAGTTAATGTGAAATCCTGGTGTGCAGTGTTTGGAGGAAATAAGAGGGATTTGTGTGTGCACACATCCTTTACGTAGAACAGGAATGCAGCCCTGGCATCCAGTCCCTGCCAGTTCAGCCTCGTGATAAGCTGGCAAGGACTGGCCTGTCTAAAGGAAGGAATAAGTCTTCCCCCATGGATGTTGCTTTTAAGGAATGTGTGTTCTCCTCTAACCTGAAGAGTGAGTTTTCCAAGCCCTGTGGCCCAGATACAGAGCTACATTTTAGGAGTCAGATTGAATCTGCCTTTCTGCTCCGGAGGTCAAATCTAGTCTATGATGGAGACACTGTTGAAGGAGCCCTCAAGTCAGCTTGATGCACAGTGATCACCCACTTTGCCATGATGCCTTCCCATGAGCTGTGGTGGGAAGCAGAACAAAACCCACAGTGGTGCTGTGGCAAAACCAGAGTCTCAATCGTTTGGGTGCTGATCAGTTATTTTTGTTCTAAATGTGTTCTAGGGCTCACTCAGAAACCAAATGCACGTGGTATGTGCTCAGACATGCTTTTGTGAGGGTAGCTGGCTGCACAGCACAAGGAGAGGATGGTGAATGGGGAAGCAGCTTCCCACACTCTTGTGCTGGAGCCTGCAAAAGCTGTTAAACTTGGGAAGTCTGGTGCCCATCTGCTCTGAGGCCAGTTCAGATAAACACCAATGGACTGTAGTCTCATCACCTCCTGTTTAACACCATTTTTCTGCTCTGTGTTGTAGCACTGGCTATGGGGAATGTCTGCTTGATGAGCCTACATCAAGAACTTACGCTTTGCCTCAGCAGCTCCCGGGGCTCATTTATGACGTCAATAAACAATGTGAGTTAATTTTTGGACCCGGATCCCAAGTGTGCCCGTATATGGTAAGTGCACTTCCACACTTTGGTCTTTCTGGTGTTGCCAGAGCATAATAAGTCTGCCCAGGGTTGGGTGAAGAGGGTAAGGGGCTGGTGTGAAGGCTGCTCCTGCCAGCTGGTCCTTGTTTTCCATGGCTGCAGACATGGGGCTAGCCATGAAGTTACTGTCAAGCTTGTGATTTAGTGATGGATCCTATGGGGATCATTTCATGAAGGGTCATCTATCCTCTAGGGCGTGTGGTACATAAGAAGAATTTATTCATATTTTGATGTTTTCAATATCTTAAGCAGATGCAGTGTCGGCGACTTTGGTGCATTAACATTGATGGTGCACACAAGGGATGTCGTACCCAGCACACGCCTTGGGCTGACGGGACAGAGTGTGAGCCTGGAAAGGTCTGTAACACCTGGTGGTTTGCATTTCCTGTGGGTCAGGCTAAGTATATTAATCAAATATCCCAATAATATGATTAAAATGCACTGCACGGCATAACTTTGTTTAAAGCAGGTATTCTTTTTGAAGTGCTCATTTTTTTAAATTAATGCCCTTAAGTGAACTCTTGAGCAAAACTTCTGCGAAGTTTCCCAATGCTTTTATTAGAAATTTCCTATGTGATGTGAGTAATTAGTAATTTTGCTTAACATAAATTTGCCAACTGGCTTCTCATCTTGGCAACTTCAGAGTAAAATATAGAACTGGTTGACATTTTCTTTGTGGAACAGTTCTGGCAATAATTCATAGAAACTTTCAATTTCCATGTGCAGTGTTAGCTTCCAAGTAGCATTGTGGTTTCTACAATGAGCGTTTAGTTTTCAGCTATGCAGATCTCAAGAAAAATAGTTGGAAAAGAATTATTATTTTTTATGGAGATACTTACATTTTTTTGAAGAAAAACTCTAACTGGTTTCCCTCATTTTTGTCTGAAGAAAAGGTTTTTCCATCCAGCTCTAATAAGAAGTGTGCCATTATTCTAAAAAGCATGCCTTAAAACTTTGCTTTTGTGACTATTAATGGTAAAGAGTTAAAGTTTTCATTGCCTAGAAAGGCTCAACATCTTAATTCATAGTCCTTGAAATGTATTTTAGTTAAAATGGATGGATGCTATCTTAGATATAATTTTCTCTAAAAGCTGTGGATCTGAAAAGTCATTTGATGAACCAGCTTGACTGATCTCATTCAAGACAATGGGCCAAATGTATCAATTTGCGTTCCTTTCTCATGGAAAAGAGCAGTCAATACAACTGTTTTTGTGGCTGAGGCTGTGCATTAGAGTTGTGGTTGGAAATCCTACTCCTGTGCTATTTTTTGGAGCCAGTGGCTCACCCATGTTCACTGCTTTGATGTAAAATCTCCCCTATTTTAGGAATCAGGGTAAACCTTTGTTATCCCAGGAGTTCCTCTGACTTCTTGTGTCCCTCCACTTCTTGAGAAGACCTTATGTCTTCAACTTCTCTGTGTGTGAGGTTGGGCTCTGTTTGCCACTGAGATCTCAGAAATAACTGTTTTGTTTTGAAATTCCAAAAACTGGGCTGCAGTCTTCTTCAGACAAGCCTTCAGTTACCTTCAGAGATGGCCCAGAGTGATGTTCAAGCATCTGCAGTTGAGCATGCTTAGTGTGTGTTAGCTGGGAGGCTGAGTGCATCTGCATGGGTCTTAAAGCCTGTGCACTGGAAAACATTTTACTCCACAAATTTAGCCAATCTGACAAGGCTAGGCAAATTTAGACAAATATGACCTGAACTTCTTAACTGAGAACCAAAGGGCCTCTTATGAAAAAACAACACAATCCAATTATGTTTAGGCATTTGAATGTACTCTCAATAAAAGGGCTTTATGGAGTCATTCTTGTATCTCTGTGTTGATCTAATTCAAGCTTAAGGTTTGGATCATCATAAACTCTCTCCTCATAAGTGTTTTCTTGGGCTTGTGAAGTGCTGAGGTGTGATTCTGGAGTGCTTTTCCTTGGAATAAATCACTATTTTGGTACTCTGCTGTGGCCAGGAGCCCCATCAAACTGCTGCTTGCTGACTAATGCCTCGCCTCAAGCCTACATGTTTAAAGTCCGTGATATGTGGGTTGGCAGATGGAGAAAATACCATGCCTTTTTTATGGAGATATCTTTGGAAATGAGGGAGCCTGAATAGCTCAGACAAATCTAGCAAAAATAGCTGGGATGGAGATTTAATCAGGCTCTAAATTTATTCTTAAATCAGGAGTACTAAAACAACACGGGAACGTTAGCTTATGCATATTTTGCATGTGAGGACACTGAATGCGATGCCACTAACCCAAGCAATGAGCCCAGCCCGGAGTTAGGGTGAATACCATTCATGATGGTTTACAGTGCTTCACAGCACCGATGCATTACGGGTTAGAAATAAATCACTGTGCCACAAGGAGAGAAAACAAAGAGGGTCGTAAACTTGGACCTCTGTCGCTTGTGGGTTTTGGGGTTGTTTGAAGAATGGTAAAAGAAGAGTAGACAGAGGGTAATCATTTCTGTCTCCTGCTTTATGGGCAGCAGGTAGCGTATATGTTATGCATGCATGAAGCTTCACAGCACTTGTCTGCCCCCTGCTAATCTATTCAGCCGGAGTCAGCCCATGGATGGGAGCTGGATTTGGTGAATTATCTGAGACTCCTGCGACAAGACAAAGGAAAGGAAAGTCTGTTATAGTGTCTCCTGTCCCTGCCATTGCTCTCCTGTTCAACTTTGTGTCCGTTTAAGTTATTTTGAACTTGCTCCAGACAAAAACTCTTTTATTCCCTTCATTGTCTGATCTGTAAGCTCATAGGAGAGAGAGCCCTGGCAGACTTTTTAGTTTTCTGTTGTAATTCAACATAGAAATTATTTTTGAAATACAAAAGGCATGAAGGCTGCACAGCCAGACTATTCACAGCGTGGTTCCAAGAAACACCATTGCGTTTCCATAAGATAATCTTGCTCCTTATTTAAAACAGCTGCTCTTTTTCTTTCTTTTCTTTTCTTTTTTTTATTTTTTAACACCCTTGATTTGCTATCAGTTCCAAACTCCCAGTTTTGAATAGAATCAAGAGGTGTAGGTGATTTCCAGGTTAATTCTCAATCACGGGATGGGAAACGTATAGGTCATATCACAGTTCAGTGGCTGTGTGCATTCAGTAGTTAGCTATTCGATCATCTTCTCTGGGTCAGTGGTGCCAAGCATGGCTGTGGTTATATATTTAGCTGTGAGCATCAATGTGTCTGCAAGAAGTTCTTCTCTGGGACAGCACTGCTGCTTTTATATCATGTGTTTCTGTAAGCTGGTGATAGCTGTTAGATCTCTTTGGGACTGACATGGGGGTCACCATCTGCAGTTCTCAGCCCTCTAAATTTGCTGTTTTCCAGATAGGTTTTCCTGAAGTCTAAAAGAAGAGGGTGAGCTCATGGTGTTTCACGGTGGAACCTTTTGGCATTAGTGAAGGAGCTGTAAAATGCAGCACATCAGTAAATTTGACTCTCTTACCATAAAGATCGTCAGGTGTTTCAGAGTCTGAGCAGCTTCTGGTGGGAGGAACTAAAGCATGGACATGTTTTAGTGATGCATCTATGTGTTTTCTCCTTTAACTTTGTAACCTAATCTAATTTGTGAGCAATCAGCAATGTTTGAGCTTCATGTAATTGCAAAAATTGGGGCATCTGTTATCAGGTTAGCATATCTCTGGGAGTGAATCTGCATTTGCAAGAGCTGCTTAGTGAGAGTGAAACCCCATTCTTCCATCCATCCATTTTGCTCAGCAGGGCCAGAACATGTCTCTCCCCTAGGTCACCCCTGTCTGTGCAGTTGTGCTAGCAGACACAATCCAAGGAGACACCATTTATAACATACAAACCAGGGACAGGGGCTTGCTGAGATAATTTAAACCAGTTTCACAAATGAAAGAACACAAGAATTATAGCTGGAAAGCACAAGAGCAGACCAGACCTTGGCAAGTCCCAGGTTATGGCTGAGTAAAAAAAAAAAAAAAAAAAGTCCTTTGGATTGAGGAATTCATTTTTCTTTCTTAATTTGCCCTTTGGACTGGGAAGCTTCTTTTTCCCTCCTCTGTCCTGGGTTCTGCACAGCTGTGGGGAGGTTTGTGTTTTCTCTGTTATTTCCCTTTTGTCCGTCTCCTCTCCTGACACTTTGTGGTTCCTGCTGCTCTCCAGGAAATTGGATAAGCAGCTTTTCCAAAGTGCTGTGAGCACTGCCACTCTGTTCAGCACCAGCAAGCAGGGAATATTTGGTGGATGTTGTTATCCTCGGTCCTCCTCCCATAAATCACTGCCGTGGGCTCTGCAGATTGCCTTTGCTTTTCTGTCGTTTTTTGTTTTATCAAAATGATAATAAAAATAAGTCCAGGTTTGCTTTTTCATTGCAAAATAGTTCTTGCATTTTGAGTCTTGGGCTGATTGCTCCCTGGAAGCATTCAAAGCCAGGCTGGATGGAACTTTGAGCAACCTGGTCTAGAGGAAGGCATCCCTGCCTTTAGCAGGGCGGTTGGAACTAGATGATCTTAAAAGTCCCTTCCAACCCAAACCGTCCTATGATTCTATGATTTGACTCATAATGGCAAAGCCATTCAAAACTTCCCCGTGTCTGCCCGCAGCACTGCCGTTATGGGATGTGTGTGCCCAAGGAGCGTGAGGCGCCAGTGGTGGATGGAGCCTGGGGCACCTGGAGCCCTTTTGGGACGTGCTCAAGAACCTGCGGCGGCGGCATCAAGACGGCCATCCGGGAGTGCAACCGGCCTGAGTAAGTGCCTAGATGTGGGGGTAAGGCTGAGTCATGGGTAAAGTGCACCAAAATGGGAGAGGGGGAAAGGAAAGAGCTGTCACGTCCGCATTAATTTATTACCTCCTGTTTTCCCGTTTAATCCCGATGGTGTTTTACTTCCCCTAATGATCAGAGGAGTCCAGGGTCAAGATGGGCTGTGGTTTTTATCCATTTTTCACCATTTTAGCCCTGCTCCGACTGCTTTTGCAGCTGTTCCTACTGGCCAGACCCTTTCTAGGCCTTTCTACAATCCTACTCCTGCTCTGGCTGGTTTTGCAGCTTTAGGCTACGTTTGCAGCTGATCCTTTATGCTGGTATGTGTCAGCTGGAGCAGACTAGAAAACCTCTGTAGAAATCTGTGCCCCATTAGAAAGTGATGCTCAGAAATGTTTGTCATCAGCCTGAATTGCTAAATCTTGACCCATATGGAATGGCAAGGAATTTGGCCGTGGGCTTCAAGGAAAAGAATGTGTGGCCTGAAATATTAATAATTGGTTGAGCAACTGGTATGAAAACAGAGCATTTGCACAAACTGTGAGCTGTGCTGGTTGCTGTTTAACTGCATGCTTTTGGCCCTGAGAACAAGAAGGCATGGGCACAGCACTTTCCAGGCTCTTGTAAGGGGCACAGTGAGGTGATGAAGAACAGATGGGTCTGGCTAGAGGAAGGAGCTTAAAAAGGCCAACCAGGTTCATTGTGCCTCACCCTTGGTGTCAGGCAGCTTATTGCCAAGGGAATTGCTATTAGTGATGCAACAGCTTTTGCATCCTTCTGTGAAACCTGCTGCAAGCCTTTGGGACTGGCTGTGGGGTGGGCTGGTGGGAGAAAGGAGAGCTCATGCTTGGCAAGAGGGCTGGCTCAGCTCAAGCACCAAAAAGGAAGAGAAGGGGTGAGGCCAAGGGAGCCAGACTCTCCAGCCCCTTAATTTAAGTGATGCTAAGAAATGCAGAAGCATGAAGAATGCTCATCATGCCGTGCTGAGTCAGCACATGCCATACAGTCTTCTGTTAGCCATGGAGACACAAAATAAGTACCTTTCCATGCACAAAAAAAGTTGTGTGGCTAAACATTACATGTCATCAGTGGGACATATGCATAGTTTCCAGGACAGCATCCATTTGGACTGATAGCTTTTCTGCTAGAAAATCACCTTTATCCTAAAGGCTAACAAGGGGATTTTAAAATTCCATTTGTCTTATAGCTCCATCAGCCACAGCACCGTGCACGCAGCTTTGTGCCAAACCTGTTGTATTGTCCCTATAGTCTGGCACCGTAGCATGCTTTCCCACCACATGCCCTTCCCTTAACATGAGCCTGTTGGGGTGATGCAAGTGAACGAAGAAGGAATAAAACATGGAGAGATGCTGCTGGGTGCTCTCACTGCCTCTCTTGTTTTTCAAAGAACTTCAGAAGTATACAGAACAGGTCTCATCTTTCTTTTTCCTGCTCTGTTGAAGGCAGCAAAAACAACCTGGAATAAGATCTGAAATGGTTTTCAAATCTTTTATATTCAAAGGTATATATTCTGGTTGCTCCAGGATCTGGGGTGATATCTTGCATGCCAATAAAATATTATGCTGAATGTGGCAGTCAAAATGAGCCCCCCATGCCAAGATACAGAAGAAAAGGCTGCAGCTCCTGACTCAGTCTCTACCCTGCTCTGGCACCTATGTTGAAGGGCACTTTGCAGTGCTGTAGGAAAAACTGAGCCCCTGAAAAGGAAGCAGGCTGTTTGGGTATGGGCTTAAGGAATCTGTTCACTCACCAGAACAGACCCGTCCCACCAGGGCTGCCCCTGGGAACTCGGAGCTGGATGGTCCTGGGGGAGCTGCTGGCTGCAGCATGGCTTGTAGAGCAAGGCATAGCTGTGGTATTACAGGGGAAGGGGAGTTTATCTTGAGATATTAGTGCCAGGAGCCCTGCGTGTGGGGATGCTTCTCTGCATGGGTGAGTGCTGTCTGTGGTCATGAGTCAGATCATGTCTGCATCTTGGTCCTTCCAAGAGATCCACCTGTGCTGGGAGTTGTGCTGGACATGTGAATGTGTTCAGCCCCACAATGCTGAAGAATCTAGTATTATTTCTTCATGACACTGAAGATCAATGTTCTGTGAGGCTGATTTATTTCTGAGGGGCAGTTCTTTGTTTACTCAGCCTCTGTGAAAAGCAGCACTGGTTTACAAACACCCAAAAATTGTCAGAGTGGTTTGGAGCTGTTTTGAAATGTGGTCCTCCAGCTCTCAACACTGAAGAGATTGCATAATGTAAAGGCTTTGTCAGATTGCAGCTGTCCTTTTGCAGTATAAATTCTTTCAAAGCAAAAATGATGAATCCTGTTAACTTCCCCTATGCACGTTTCTGGCTCCCCAAAGTCTGGAGTGTGCTGCTGCTAGCACGTTTCCCCATGTGCTGTACCCTGAGATGATCAGGATGTGCTTTTGTGGACAGAAATTCTGCTACTTGAGTCGCAAGTAGAAGAACTGTTCTTTGTGAGAGAAAAGACACCACTGAGCCTGATGGGTGGTTAATGTGCCTGCACTTAAGGATGCTGAAAAGCTGATATCAGTTGTAGTAGCTTGTTAGTTAGCAGAATGTGAGGATTTCCTGTCTCTGTTCAGCTGAGGAACAACAAATCTATGGGGACCAGTAGAGTGTTATGGAGGGGTGGACCCACATTATGGGAAAGAATCGTTTGAGTTGGAGAAGGCCACTGAGAGAATCCAGTCCAACCATCAACCCATCCCCACAATGCCCACTAACCCACGTTCCTAAGTGTGAAGCGAAATTTTCTCTGGCAAGGAAGATGTTCTTCTTCTGTCTTCTCCCACTACAGCTGTATTCATTGGAGAGCAAATACTCCCTTTGTTCATCCCTTTTGAGCATCACCTTCCACGGCTTCTTTTTTTGTTCCCACAGGCCTAAAAACGGTGGGAAATACTGTGTGGGACGTCGAATGAAATTTAAATCCTGCAACACTGAACCGTGCTCGAAGCTGAAGAAGGATTTCCGGGATGAGCAGTGCGCCGATTTCGATGGGAAGCACTTCAACATCAATGGGCTGCCCACAAATGTGCGCTGGGTGCCCAAGTACAGTGGAAGTAAGTGCCAGGAGCATGGTGCCTTCTTCTGGTGGCTTGCTGGGCAGTGGCATTTGGGTAACCTGCTCCTGTTCTTTCTTCCTCCCCAGTCCTGATGAAGGATCGCTGCAAGCTGTTCTGCCGCGTGGCGGGGAACACCGCTTACTACCAGCTGCGGGACCGTGTCATTGATGGGACTCCCTGTGGCCCTGATACCAATGACATCTGTGTGCAGGGCCTGTGCAGGGTAATGATTTTCCCTTCTCTTTTACAAGAATGATTTCCATTTTGTGTGTTTCTCCGTGGAACAACCAACTCAAGAAGTTTGCTTCAGCTCAAGCACTGCCTGGTGAAGGTAGCAGTCATAGAAAGAATGGGGAAGACCATTAAGATCATCCGGTCCAACCATCAACCCATCCCCACCATGCCCACTAACCGTGTCTCTCAGTGCTACAGCTACCCTTTTCTTGAAAACCTCCAGGGTGGTCCTGAATCTTGCTTTTTGTTTGCAACTGGTGGCCATCCTGCAAGTCAGCACAAAAATGTGGGGAAGGGAAGCAATTTGTCTCACAGCAGCCTCTTCCACACAAAGCTTTTGTGGGGCTTAACTTGGAGATTTGTAAATGCTGTTCTAGTCTGCGTTTGCTCCATCTTGTTTTTCAATTTTTCTCTTAAAGCAAGCTGGATGCGATCATGTGCTGAATTCAAAAGCAAGAAGAGATAAATGTGGTGTTTGTGGTGGGGATAATTCTTCATGCAAAACTGTTGCGGGCACATTTAACACGGTGCATTATGGTAAGAATCCGTTGCTAAAAACTTTATCGTGAAAAATGCAGGTCTACAAAGGACCTATAAAAGCCTTTACCACACTTAATCTACAAAAACACTGATATAAAATGTGAAATCCTTCTAGCTATAGCATATATCAGGTTATAACTATTTATGCTATCCCTAAATGAAGAGTATTGGATTGTGTAATGTGAGGTAATTTTGCTCATCTCCCTTCCCCCCATAAAAAGCAAGTGAAACATCTGTGTAATAGCCTTGACTTTGCGTTAAATCTGTTCCAGGCTATAACGTTGTGGTCCGCATTCCAGCTGGTGCAACAAATATTGATGTGCGTCAGCACAGTTACTCAGGGAAACCAGAGGATGACAACTACCTGGGTGAGTTGCAGTGTACGTTTCAGTCCTAGATGCTGTTTTCTGGTTGTGTGGATAGGTCTGGTTGCCCCTGTTAAGGGACGTGAAAAATACACCAAAGGGAAGGTGTTTTCTCATTGAGAATATATCCTGTATAGCTGCCAAGCATGGTCACCTTCGCTTTGCTCCTTCTCTTTGTTCGTGCCATCCTTAAAGCAAAGTTTGGGAGGCTCATGTGTTGAGAAGCGTGCCCACACAGGGTCATGTCTGGGTATTATTCAACATGCTGAGCAAAAACCCATACTGAGGTCTGCACTCAGTGTAAATGCATGTGTTAGGAAAGGGCTGGGCTGGAGGTTCATAGCCCAGTGGGAGGTGAAGAAACTTGCTTCTTTGTGTCACTTGGGATACAAATAGAGGAGACCATGGTGCACCAAAGGGAAGCGATGCTGGTAGTTTTGGTTGTCGCTCTGAAAAGCTGAAAGTCCACGTTTCCAGACCCTTCATGGAGGCAAAATCCCAAGCGGGTCCTCCTGGCCCTGCACAGCCCTTGTTTCACAGCAGGGAAGTGAAGTGGTGCAGCGTGGATGCACATCAGTACCAACAAAATCCTGCAGAGATGTGATATCTTTTGACCTGGGGGAGAGAGAGAGAGGGTTCCTTATTTCTCTTTTTTAGCAAAACAGTCACAGGATCACTGAAAAGTTTGGGTTGGAAGGGATCTTTAAGATCACCCAGTTCCAGCCCCACTGGGACACCTCCCGCTAGATCAGGCTGCTCAAAGCCCATCCAGCCTGGCCTTGCATGCTCCCCATGTGCTACCTATTCAAAGTGGTTCACTCCAGAATGAGCCCTAAAGAACTTCTCAACTCTTCTCGGAAGGCACTTTAATTTTCTTGGGAAGCAATGAAGTCAGATCTTCTTTAATGTTGCTTTAATATTGCTGGGAAAGCATCTCTTCACATTAGGCCTGAAGAGAAGCAAATGAGAAGTGTGCATTTGTACACTTATTTTGCAGCTCAGTGAGTGTGAAATCTTGGGCCCTCAGTACTGTGAACCTTACAGTTCCTTAGCAATTTAGGAGGAATTTGATGTTGTCATCAAGTCCAAGGCACGCACCTACTGTTGTAGGAAGATACACTAAACAGGAAGGAATCCTTTAATAAGTTTTACTACTGCAAAATGATATTAAAGCTTCCACAGTATGGAATTTCGTTGAGCACAGTCTGCTTTTTGAGCTTTTGCCCATCTATAACTGTTTGCCGGTGTTTTGCTTCTTTATCTCTCCTCGTTTGGTGTAAAAACCTTCCCTTTGGTGTTTTGGTGTTAAGTTTGGATTTTTTCCGTACAGAGGCTTTGTAGTAATGTAGCTGTGATGGGTGAAATGGTGGGGAAACTAACTTAGGAAATTAGCTACATAATCGCATTAGTGTGAAGTTGTGCAGCAGACTGCTGTTTTCAGGAAACTGTTCCTTTTATAAAGCATTTAGGCTTTAAGCCTTCAGTGCTTTCACATACCTTAAGATTTGGAATAATAAAAAAGTAAACGGGGAGGAGGGTGAAGGAGGTGCTGACCAAACTCACTGCAATTATCCACCAAAAAACAAAGTTTGGGCAATTAGGGCAGAGAAATTTATCTTAAGAACACACCTGGAAACAATGTGCAAGTCATCCTATCTGCACAACTAACACAAATACTTGGGCAGAATGACTTTGTATCACACTGCCTGCAGCAGCCTGCCCCTAGGTTACGGGGAAGCTGTTTAGAAACAACTTCAGGCATTCAGCCTTCACTTTAATGAGGTTTTCAAAGAAAGAAGGAATAGGCACCACATCTGTAAAATCTCTGCTGCTCTCTTTCCACCCTTTCTGCCTGAGAGTGCTAGTCGACTTTTCCTCCCAACCCAGTGAAGGGGAGCACTGAGAGCGTATGACCCACGTAATTATGTACACCTGAGTTAATTCTGCATCTTTAGTTCTTGTTTTTTGCACCTATGCAGCCTTATCTAACAGTCAAGGAGACTTTATATTAAATGGAGACTTTGTCGTCAGTATGTTTAAAAGGGAAATCAAAGTTGGGAATGCTGTGATCGAATACAGCGGATCGGATAATACTATTGAAAGGATTAATTCTACAGATCGGATTGAGCAAGAAATAACACTTCAGGTGAAGTATATGTTGTGTGTGTGGAAAAGCCTGCCAAGCATTACTGGGCTGCAAACAACCAGCAGTAAAGTCTGTTAGTTTACTCTGCTTTATCATTCTTTTCTCCCAGGTTTTATCAGTGGGCAATTTGTACAATCCTGACGTTCGTTACACTTTTAATATCCCCATTGAAGACAAACCTCAGCAGTTTTATTGGAATGCCTATGGCCCCTGGCAGCCCTGCAGTAAGCTCTGCCAAGGTAGGTGCTCAGGAAACCATTACAGGGTTCACCTGGGATCTCAGCAATGTTTGCAAATCCTTTTCCATGTATTTTCTGGGAGACTTTTACATTATGAGCTTGTTTCCCTGCCTGCAGCAGTAGATAGATAACCTGTGATGCCCTGCTTTTAAGGAGTAGCACTGCAGTGGTGCTTTTCAGCTGCAAAGCAGGGAACCTTTGTAGCTCACCTCTTAAATACTACTGCTAAGGGAAGAGGAGAAACAGCTAATTTGATGGCTGTCCTGTATGTCTCAAACTCTGTCTTTTTACTTCCTGTGTAGGAGAACGAAAAAGGAAGCCTGTGTGTACGAGGGAGTCAGACCAACTCACGGTGTCAGACCAGAGGTGTGATCGGATTCCCCAGCCCGACCCAATAACAGAGCCTTGTGGTACAGAGTGTGAGCTAAGGTGCGCTCTGATCACTCAAATGTATACATAGCATTTATTGTTTACTCCTCTTTCACCCCTGGCTCTCATCCCTTTTCTCAGCAGCCTGTATTAGGCTTAAAAAAAAAAGAAAAAAAGAGGGATTAACCGTTGTCTCTCTGTCACCCAAGAGTTGTTGATGTCAACCAGCTGTGTTTTCGGAGGCACATTCTGTATTTTCAGGTTTGCTATGTTGGATTCAATTAGTGCTAACTGTAACAACAAGTGCTTGACGTTTCAATCTGTCTGGATAGAAATGCAGGCTGTTTGTAGGATGGTGAGCAAAGAGGGGAAAAAAAAAACGTGCTCCAAACAAAGAGTCACTAAGGCTTGGATTTATCATTTGTTTAAAGTGAGGAATGGACTGAAGTGTAGAGTGGGTTTGAGGCTGTCCCCACACTACTACTGGAGAGCTGGAATTGATGGAGCTTGCCCTAAGTGATCACAACCCATTTTCCTTTAAGCAGCAATCTGTTGTTATTTCAAGAGCTTAAAATATGGTGGCAATAATCAGCTGCTGGCGAAGCAGTTTGGATTGCTGGGTTTTTGGAAGGGTTTCTCTTGGTTTGTTAAATCTGGGGTGTAAACAGCCACTGCAGGGCTGCTGTGGGACGGGTTGTCGAGGTAACAGCTGTTGCCATTGCGACAGGTTAGAAACCTGAGAAGGGGAAATGCCCAAGTTTTGAAAAGCAGGCAGGGACACAGGGGCTTCACTAATTCAGGAACTGTTGACTCCAAATCCCCTTAATCTTATTCTTCTCCTAGCCTTGCTGCAGTTTGCTCTCTGAGTGTAGGAGCGGTGCTGTGTGCTTGCTGCTCAGGTGGCTCTCCTGCACTGGACCATGGGGCAGAAAGCCCCCAGAGCTCCACTCTGTGCTTGGCTGTGCAGCATGAGCAATCCCCTAGGGTGACATCACCTTTCCTTCCCATCAGGAGGAGCTGGAGGCTGCTCCTTCCCTCCCAAAAGCAAAGCCAGAGCTGACTACCCAGTACTTACAGATTGCTTGGAAACCATCGGGAAGGATCAAAACTTCCCATTCAAGGTTAAAATTCCTATTTTAATGTCGGACACCCTCAAGCACGTTATCTGCCATGTCCCAGAGCCCTGCAACTCCTCTGACTTTCTCATGGGTTGTGTCACCGTTTGCTCTCAGGTGGCACGTGGCAAGGAGGAGCGAGTGCACAGCCCAGTGCGGGCTGGGATACCGGATGCTGGAGATCTACTGCTCCAAGTACAACAGGTTGGAGGGGAAGACAGAGAAAGTCGATGACCGCTTCTGCAGCAGCCAAGCCAAGCCGAGCACAAGGGAGAAGTGCACAGGAGACTGTAACGTGGGAGGCTGGAGGTACTCTGCCTGGACAGAGGTGAGGGATGCTGCTGTCTCATCCTCTCTGGGGGCTCTTTGGTTTGCAAACAGTGTGTGAAAGTTAGATGCAGCAACTCAGCTTTCCCTGCTCTTCCTGGAGGACACTGCGATGCTAACGAGCCCAGTGCTTCCTATTTTCCATTGCGGTGAATTTATGCTTTGAAGTATCCTGATGTCTGTGTGTTGTGCTCAGCGCTGCAGGCTGTCCTCTCCCATCAAAGCCATCATGCTGCTGGTAGGCGAGAGGACATGGTGCCATCAGTGAAGGACTTCTGATGTTTGTTTCCTTTATGCTTTTCAGCAGATTGGCCGTTCCGTGGCCAAGAATATCCCTGGGTGCAAATGTGGCACTGGGAGAATGATGAGCCTGGGGCTTTCCGGGGAGGGCACAGAAGGAGGGCGGGCTGCTTGGGGAGAATTAATCTCTTATAAAATGAGAACAAGCGTCAGCCATTTGGGGGGACTGAAAGGCAACAGTTGTAAAAGTAATAATGGGGTTATAACCTGAGATAGAATTGTGAAACCCATTGCTGCGAGATTTTTATTAAGCTTAGCGAGATTGGATTTTTAAAGGAATATATAAAGTAATAGCCTGTTACTTAGAGCACAAATTGTTCTGCTGGAGGTTTCCTGCAGTCTCTTTATCTGTAAGGAGGAAGGAGATATATGGGCTCACAGAACACGCATGCTTAGTGTCTGCTCTTTGCAGTGCTCCAAGAGCTGCGGTGGGGGCACGCGGCGGCGGCGGGCCATGTGTGTGAGCACCTATAATGACGTGCTGGATGACAGCAAGTGCAGCCAGCAGGAGAAGCTGACAGTGCAGCGCTGCAGTGAGTTCCTGTGCCCCCAGTGGAAAACTGGAGAGTGGTCTGAGGTAGGGGCTGGCAAGGATATCCCTTCTCCTGCTGCTGTCCCTATAGCACTGTGTTCTTTCTGATCCCCCAGTCAGTTCTCCCCAGGTTTTCCATGCTCAGCCCTCACCCTGTTCTTTATTACCATTATCTCTTCTGCTCAAACTGGTGCTCTTCCTAATGCAACAGAACCTCATCTTAACAGGCTGATCCCAACAGCAACTGGGATGGAGGAAATAGTATCCAAAATCTGCTTGTCACCTTTATGTCCAAACAGCTTGTTTTTGTGAATCACATTGTTTTAGAAAATAATGGAAGAAAATAAATGGAAACAAGGGCTGTAAACTGACTGTTGTTCTCTGCAGAATATGTCTGCAGCCCATGGCAGCAGATGGGATGCTGGATGGGGTGATTGAAGCCCTTTATCATGCGTACTTGGAGCGCAAGCCTCTGGCACCTCGATGCATGCTCCCAGAGAGCAGTGCTGCAGCTTTCCCTGCATCTCACAGCTGTCAGGGGCTGCTGGAAGATACAGCCAGCCCTAGAACCAGGCTATATCTGCCTTGGCATGGCAGTAAGCTTGGCTCTCCCTTGTCTCTTTCTGGCTGTCCTGCTTGGCACTTATGTTTGCTGCACTTTTCCCTATGGTTGTTGGCATATTGGAAGAACTATTGTTTGGCATAATAATAATAATAATGAAAATAGCCACGAGACCGCATTATACCAGGTGTGTTGGCCTAGTTGCCTCACTAGCAGCATTTAAGCTGAGATCTTGGGTCTGTTCTCAAGATTTGGGGCAGGAGCTGCAAAGAGCTTGTGCTTTGCTCAGAGAGGTGTTGGAAGCCCCATCCCTGGATACATTCCGGGTTAGACTGGGCCAGGTGCTGATCAGCCTGATCAGACTTAGCTATCTTGGTTCATTGCAGCGGAGTTAAACTAGGTAACCTTTAAGGATCCCTTCCAATTCAATGATTCTGTGCTTTCCCCCTGCCAGTGCCTGGTCACCTGTGGGAAGGGGCACAAGCATCGCCAGACCTGGTGCCAATTTGGGGAAGATCGGCTGAACGACAGGTTTTGTGACCCCGAAACGAAGCCGGAGTCGGTGCAGACGTGCCAGCAGCAGGAGTGTGCAGCATGGCAAGTCGGGCCCTGGGGGCAGGTATGGAAGCCAGTTCATCCCAGCGATGTGTTTGTGAATTGGTTGGCTTGGGTGCAGCCTATGGGCAGCAGGAACAGCACCTGCCCTTTGTGCTAAATTTAATGTGGCATACTAAATCGGCCGTGATTGTCAAAAAACGATTGCCAAGGTTACGCTCCTAAATCCATATTTAGGCACACAAATATGTGGCCTAATTTTCACTGGAAAAAAAAAAAAAAAAAAAAAAGCTGCTGCCACTTAGTAGCAATTGTTGCTTTCAATGTTTTCCACTCTTGGGGTGGGAGGGGGGATGGTGGTGGTGTTTTTCACTGTTAAAATGAGAGTTGCTCATTTCTCCCGCAGAGTTCTGGCATCTTATTTTCCACAAAGCTGTTAGTTCTTAAAAATAAGAATCAGCAGCAACGCCAGGCGAGTCGTCCCAGCCAGACTAATTGCCCATGGGCAAAAATATCCCTTAGTGCTTCTGCTACTACGGTGCTGAGCAACTGGTTTTAAAGGAGGATGTGGTGTAGCTTCTCCCAGGCTATGATTTACTGTGTGTAAATCGTTGAAATGCTCACACCTTCATTCCTGAGGACAGTAAGTGAAGCGTGTGAGGCTCTGATGGGCTCAGTGAATTAAAACTTTGACCTAATTTAAAGCTGGAAATGTGTGAAGTGGAGAGAAAGCAGAAGGGAAGCTGGGTTTTATAATGCTGCTCGTGATTCGTGCCTGGACGTAGGCTGGGCTGATTAATTCTCTCTAACTGAAGCGAAAACTCAGACCCAGCACTTCTTTCTTCCACCTGCCCTCTCTCAGTGCACGATGACCTGTGGCCAAGGCTACCAGATGAGAGCAGTGAAGTGTGTCGTGGGCACCTACATGTCAGTGGTGGACGATAATGAATGCAATGCCGCAACCAAGCCAACAGACACCCAGGTGAATCCTGCTGTTCCCCTCTCCACCTTAGGTTCTCTTTCCACCTGTCATTGGTAACAGTGTGGGACCTTTCCTAGCTTACTGTCTGTGCTGCTAAGGGATCAATGCTTTCCTCAGCTCTTTTGGGGACCAACAGGTCAGGTATTCACTCAGGGGTGTAAATCATTGCCCTGGCCTGGCCTGAGAAAATGACAGTGGTTGACCCTATGTCTAGTATTGCTGAGTTGTAGCTCAGCTGCTCAATGGCCCATTTGGGATGTCACTCTCTGGCAGAGAGGGAAGGGTGTGGGTGGGCATCCTTGCTGGGCTGGGGCAGCTCTTGTTGTATGGCTGTTATTCCTGTCACAATCTGTTTCAGTGCAGAAAGTTTGGCTATGAGAACCCCAGTTTTAGTGTTTTCAATAAGTCAAAGTCCATTGGAGTTCTGCCCATAGGAGGGAACTGATACCAAATCTTGCTGATGCAGCAAGAGCATGCAAGAAGAAAGCCTGCCAGCACACAAGCATGCAGGTCACATTCTTGAGACATTGCGTACTGTTAATGTTTGCATTGAAGAGGAGGTGGTTTAATTGAAACATCTGCAAATCTTTCATCACTTGCTTTATTTCCCTCTTTTCCCTCATGGATCTTGCATGCAGGACTGTGAAATTGCAGCATGTCCTCCCCATCCAAATAGTCCCGAAGCCAAGAGATCTGTATCAGGCGTTCACAGGACACAGTGGAGATTTGGATCCTGGACACCGGTAAGCACATGTCGTAATACTTTTAGGATTATTTTATAGTAGACAGTGTGAATGTTTATAAGTGCATTTGCCCAGCTTTTTGTTCTAGTATATAATAGGAAAGTTTTCTAGCACAGTGCTTGTTGCTCTTCCCTAGTGCTCTGCAACATGTGGGAAGGGGACGCGGATGCGATACGTCAGCTGTCGGGATGAGCAGGGCTCAGTGGCTGATGAGTCTGCTTGTTTCCACCTGCCGAAGCCCTCAGCCACAGAAATGTGCACCGTGACACCCTGCGGGCAGTGGAAGGCCTTGGAGTGGAGCTCTGTAAGCATCACAGTGCATCCTGCAGGAAAGCCTTGTAGGCATCGCTGCTGGAGACTTATTGCATTAATCTGTTGCCTGTATAAGTGGGAAGACGATGGTTTTGAGCAGTGTTTTATTAGCAATAGTTGTTGGTCTGGTGAATGAAGCTGGAAATGTGACTGTGTCTCCTTTTCCCACTGTAATGCAGTGCTCGGTGACTTGTGGTCAAGGTAAGGCAACGCGACAAGTGATCTGCATCGATTACAGTGACCAGCTGGTGGACAGGAGCGAGTGTGACCCAGATGACCTCCCTGCTACCGAGCAGGACTGCTCCATGTCTCCTTGTCATCCGAACAGCCACGATTATGGCAGGCCCATCCACCCCTTCCTCTATCCGGACCATCGCCTCAAGCTGCACCCTGGAGGCAGTCCCAACCGAAACCGAGCACATATACCAGGAGGCAATCAGTGGAGAATTGGTCCCTGGGGGGCTGTGAGTACACTGATTTTTCTTATTTCTGATTGTTTTTTCCTAGGCTAATTCAAGCTTTTTTGTTTTTAAATATCACTACTCAGGAGAGACCCTTGCTCCTGCTTTCTGCTCCCTCCTACTTCCCCAGGTGCTGCAGTAGGGAGTGGGCATTGCCTCTCATCCCTTTGCACCATGCATCTCCCTGCAGATAGCATTGTTTTCCACATGCCAAAGGCCAGCTTCTGCTTCTTGGCTGCCTCCTGGGGCATTTACAGCTGTGCAGAGCTGCTGCCAGAGCAGAGCCTTGATGCCAGCTCCTCGTCCCCCCAGCCGGTTTGAAACACTTTATCGTGAAAGTCCCTAAAGGGAATTAAGCACAAATGTGGTGTTTAACACTGTGCTAAAGGCAGCGGGGATTACTCACCTGCTCAAAACTAGGCTCGTGTTTATTTTCTTTGCCTAGTCAGCACCTAAGTCATTGCACTGCTATTAGCAAGAGCAGAGGTTGGAAGTTAATAAAGCCTGTTAGCTGTATTAAATTTCTCACCGTGCATTCCCACGGTGCAGCACTCTGGGAAAGAGCTGGGAATGCACAATTACTCGTAGGCTCAAAGAGGCTGTGGGCAATTGTGTCTTGCAGTGCTCCAGCACGTGTGCAGGGGGGTTCCAGCGACGCGTCGTGGTGTGCCAGGATGAAAATGGATACACTGCAAATAACTGCGATGAGAAAACCAAACCTATGGAGCAGAGATCATGCGAGTCTGGCCCCTGTCCTCAGTGGGCTTATGGCAACTGGGGAGAGGTGAGCACACCGTTTGTCCATTCCATCAGAATGGTTCCAAAGAATGTTTCTCAATGAAGTGATAGGTTCTTTATATGTATAAGTGTAAAGGGAAGGTTTGTGTTAGTGGGTGGCTGAAAAATGGGAGAAGAGGGGAGGAGTAACAGATATGAGAAATGTCAGTGTATGAATGGCAGCCTCTGGTAAATGGGCAAGCCCCAGCAACTGCTTGGTGTTGTTTTCGATTCCATTTGTCAATTTGTTTCTAGACAAAAGCAAAATCTAAAGAAATTGAGGTTTATTATTTTTTTTTTTAGATAAATCTAGTTTAACTGAAAGCTTTCTTTGTAATTAAACCTCTACTCACTCCCTTCTGCAAATTCATCCAAGAGAAGCAATTAGAGACGTAACCTTTGACACCCCGCTGGGCCTGGCAGTGTCATCACAGAGCAGCACAAATAGCTTTGGGAGGGAGAAGCATCATCATACATCACTGCAGGGACGTGATGAGAGGGAGGGGTGGGAGCAGGAGCAGCCGCAGAGTTGGAGTGCTGTAGGAGCCTGGTGCTGATTCCTGTCCCCTGTGCTGACTTGCAGTGCACGAAGCCATGCGGGGCCGGGACGAGAACGCGGCTCGTGGTGTGCCAGCGCCCCAATGGAGAAAGGTTCACGGATCTGAGCTGTGAAATCCTCGACAAGCCACCGGACAGGGAGCAGTGCAATGTGCAGGACTGTCCTAGAGATGCTGCCTGGAGCGCTGGTCCCTGGAGCTCGGTACGGCCGTAAGCTTTCTCTTTGTGAACCGTTGCATGGATGTCCCGTAGCAACAGATTTAATGTGCTTCAAACCAAGGTGCTAATGCTTCGTGTCTTAAAACTACACTTAAAAGGATTATTGGTGATATATTTGGAATAACACCGATTTGGTAAGGGCTTGCATTAGAGGAACTCAAGTCCTTCAATTGAAAGGCACTTTCTGCTCAGTAGCCAACTTTGCCCGTTCTGTTACACCATGCGAGTGCCGTGCATTACAAGTCTTGGTTCTGACTGAGTTCTTTGCACGTGGATTTAAACCTGGCATTTAAGCAGTACCTTTGCATTGAAGTTAAATTGGACTGATGTTTAATGGTAACACTGCACTGTGCACCTACTGGTTTACAAGTCGCATGTTCTGTGCCAGAAACAAACTGATGGGGAAATCTGTACTAAATTTCATCAAATTCCAAGCTCAGCAAGTGTGTGTGGGTGCGTGTGCCACCCCGTGCACTTCAGTATAGAAATCTGTGTGTGTTCACACCCATGCTGCAGCTCTATGCCCATACATAACATGAGTGTGATGTGCTGTGCAAAGGCAGCTGTAAGCTGTCTGCGTGCATCTCTTTGCTTCTGGAGTTGGCCAGGATCTGCTACAGAGATGCTTTTGCAGTGGCTTGTGAGGGCTGAGTGCCCGGAGCTGGGATGTGTTCTGAGTGTTCTTTGCTCTTCTCTCTGCCCCTGTGCTGGTCAGGGTGCTTCTGGCATGCTGGAAACCACGGACCTGCCCATTTTTGGAGTGGCCTTCAAACAGATGTTGACCTTTAGTGTTGTTGTAACAGCTTTTCAAGATTTTCTTTTTTTAAAAAAGGAGAAAAAAAAAGAAAAAAAAAAAAAAAGGAAAAGAGAATTTGACTCAAAAGCACTTTATAAGGAAAAAAAGAGGCCTGTTTGTAATGTATTGGACTTCCTTAATTGTCATGGTTTGGAAAGCTGTCTTGCTTGCACGTAACCTTGCTAGTTTCTGTGGATGCTCTCAGTAACACAGATGCCTTCAGTAACATTTCTCAATATTTGTATCATACCTCAGTGCATTATGCAATAGCCATAAAACTGCTGGACTAGTGTTTCTACGGTGCTTCACCAGTACAAGGGACAGTGACATGACACGTCCCATTCGAGGTGCTAATGTATCCCTCGTACCCTGATAGCTGGTGCTACGATGAGGGCAGTGAGCTCAGCAGAACTAGCAGCCATGCAGCAGCTTTCCTGCAGCACTCCCAGCTGAGGATTGCTGTTAGCCTTTATATCAATCACCTGTGCTGGGACATTGGCGAGATCCACAGGTGTGGACAGAGTTGTGTTGCGTTTGGTGCCACTCAGCATTCAGCCTTTCTGCTGTTTGGCAGCAGGCTGGAGGGCTGCATCTGCTCCTCGGTGTTGAAAATGCAGAGTGCAGTCCTTTATGTTCCTTTTTTTTTTTTTAATTTTGGTGTTGCTGGGTTTCTTACCCGGAAAGAAATTCCTTTAACTCTACTAATAGTTATCTGTTGCCTGCGTTGACCTTGAATGCCTCCATTCAAGGCCCTTGGCAGACTGTTTAAAGACTGTGCTGTCTCTATCCATGGGGTCAACAGGACGTCGTGTCCCTCCTGCAGAATGCTCCACATGTGTGTCTACCTCGTGCTACTACTGTAGGTAGTAACGTCCAAATCTTTTTGGTTAGTGTGGGATCACCCGATTTGCCTTAGCTCTGTCATCGTTTGCAAGCATCATTCTGTAGCTGTAATACTTCATCTCTTTGGATGGAGTGTCACTACCATATTTTTTTTGGTCACTTTTGAAACAAGAGTATAGTATTAGCTGAAACTTTTCAGCAGTATGGATTTATGTATTTATGTAAAAGTGTATTTATTTTTCCAATATTGTTATTTAATTTTATATAAATATTGCATACATTTACAATGTTTAATGTTAATGTTGAACAGTGAAAATTAAAGACAAGTAGAATGTAATCATAAATGAATTTGTATAATGATTTCTTGAGTCTTTTGCTAAATTAAGATCGTATTACTTAGTTTTGGTAACCTTTACTAATTTTTCTGAAATGGTTTACTTGCTTGTTCTCCAACAGAAATTGTCATTCTTAATAATTAAACAAACACAGTTAAAAGTGTATGAACTGTGAAGTTTGGTTAAACTAATTTCTCGCAAGCATCTGATTGGCTTAGCTTCACACAGGTTGGAATGGAATTAGCATGGTTAAATACATGCAAATTAAAGTCAGCTGAGTTCTGAAGGGTCCAACCCTTGGTCCTTAAGGCAATATTCCACTGCAATCTTATGCAGGAAAGAAGTGATTTTATCTGGCTCATTAAATCCAGGTTTTACAGATAGTTAAATGAATAAACAGGTTCTGTATGGAAATGATAGTCTTAAAACAGGAGAGTGGTGAGATGCCGTGTCATTCTACTGTATGTTCAAAGAGGGCTGAGAGGAGGTGATGCTTCTCTTTCCTTGCTGATTTAAGAACATGTACTCAAACACTGCAGAACTGTAAGCCATGTGATAGACCTGACTTCTTTTTTTTAATTAAAATAGTACTTTAGAAAACATGCAGACTGTCACCAGGAGACAGAGTCTTTTTTCTCCTCTGAACGCCTTGCAGTGTGAACACAGATGTCTGTCTGTCCATCCATGCACTCGAATAACAAGAAGAAATCTTGCTATGTTCTCCAGAATGAGGGCAATGCTCATGATATGTTATCCATCACTTCAAACCCAAACCTCATCCCACTCTTCTCGGGGCTGATCTGCTCCTTGAAATAGCTGCTGTGAAATGTCAGTGGTGTAGAGTTAACCCTAATATGCACCATGCCCCGTTACCATTTGAGAGTAATGACAGATTCCCTTGTTGTGGCCTTCTTGGTCTTCCCAAACTAGGAAACAGACACAGATTAGGGAATACAGTTCTATCTGACAGCACCTTGCCCTGGTAGGGGCGGGTGGGTCATGGGGACCCCACTGCAGTAGGATGGTAACACGTGGATGATGGGTAGGTGGCTTTTTTCCTAAAGTATATTATCATTTCAAATGTAATCTGCTCTGGCAAGTGCTTATTGCTCTTTGGTATCAAGAATTTGAGCTTTTGTGTAGTTCATGGTGCCTAGAAAGCTGTGCTGTGTGCTTCCCAGCTCCTTATCAAACAGGCAGAAAGGCCGGTTGGGTTTTTATTAATTTCTTTTGTTTTTTTGAAGGCCTTTTGATCTACCAGTGAAGAATTGGAGATGGACTCAATGATCTCTAGAGGTCCTTTCCAACTTCTACGATTCTATGATTCTGTAATTGCAAGCTTATCATAAAATAATTAGGCTGTTAACTGAATGGCATCTAAACGCCATTGCTGTTGATGTGAATTCTGTTTGGGTTTGCAGCACGCTGCCATTAGCTGGGAGCTGGTGCTACTGGTGGTTCTGTGGCTGTGCATGGGGACATGGGGAGTGGCAGCATTTCTGGAGGACCATAAGAGCCCTGCCAGGAAGCTGGTACCTAGGAATTTTAATCCTAAAAATGGCTGTTGTTGCAAAGTTCAACCTGTTGTTTACAAAATGCCTTCCCCATGAAGCTTGCTGGAAATGGGCTGTTCTGCAGCAATATTCCCCATGTCGTTGTTCTGATAGCATTCTTAGAAGGCAATGTGTCAACCCTTGCTAAGGCATAAGTGATAACCAGGGGCAGAGTATTTAACTCTGCTGTTCTCCTCTTTTCTTCAGCAGAAAACGAATTTGCTGTGACAGCAGCATTACTGAGCTGCCGTATGATTCGTTACACGTGTTTTTTCAGTAACAAAGCCATCCTTGAAAATAAAGTGATAGGCATGTGGACTCTCCAGTCGCTTAGAGATTCATGTTGCTTTTCCTGTCCTTCACCCAGATGTTGGTTGAGGCTCTGGGCTGCAGCAGCCAGTCTGTGTGTTGTCAGAAAATAAATAGCAAGTCAGCCTGAATGGGGGAAGGACCGATGTTGAAGCAGTAGATGAAGGCTGGACGTAAGGTCCCAGCACCCATAACCCAGGCAGATGGATGCCCCGTGTGACTTGCACGTCTTTGGAAAAACATGCAGAAAGAGATGCTTTGATAACGCTGATACAGACCAAAAAGAGAACTTTAGCCTATGGATATCCTCAGCCATCTGTCTGAAGCTGTCTCTGTCTTGGAGCTGTTTACTGTTCGCTCAGACTGGCCCACCAAAGCTGCTGTCTCCCTTGGGTTCCTGTCTGTCTCCTCTTTAGGATCAGGCAGACCTACCGACTCCAGGGACTGCCATTCTGGTGTGCTGATAAAAGGCAAAAAAGCTGTCTGCTTTTGTTCCCCAGTCAGGAAGAAAAAGCCTTTGACAGTGCAGACCTCTTTGCTTTTGTTTAAAAAAAAAAAAAAGCAAACTAAACTTTCCCCAGCCTTTCTCTGCTGTGTGTCATGCAGCCAGAGCACACCATTAGTCAGTTTTACCTACCTTAAAACCACCTGGAATGGGCAAAGCTCATCAGCCACCCTGCAGCCCACCTCTTGGCTCCCTTGTGCATGGGTCCCACTTCTCACCAATTGTCTTTTTTTACTGCACTCCCTAAAAAAGGAAAACCCCAAAGACACACTCCTGCTATCTGTTCTGCTGTGCTGATGCAGGAATGCAAGCACTAAAGTAAAGCACTGACCGTGTGCTTTGCTGGATCAGTTCCTTGCAGGGTTGTTTTCCTGCTGCTTAACTCTGTTGTTGCAGAGTCCATGTTTCTGTCCCTAACCGACTGTCAGACATCTGCTTTTCTCCTCCCTGCCAGTGGCTTCCTTTGGGATGCTCCATGGCAGTCACAAGCACAGGGGCCATGAGACCCCACGGAGGGGAAGGCTGAGTTTTGTGTGCCTCCCTGATGACTCCCTTTAATACTTCCCTTCTTATACATTTTCTCACCAAGACAGTTATTTTCCAGGCCCCGCACAGCTGGCCTGTGCTTGCACAAAAGGCTGA